ACTTCACACACTTGTTCTCTGTGATTATCTTAGATGATTGGCACAAGTCCCATAACTCTGATTTGCTTTTTTTCATAATTATGCCCCTTTTTCGACTTAGAAATTCTTGGTTAAGTTTTTGTATGTAAGCTGGTATCTCCATAACTACTGAAAGGGAATGGATTGAAACTTCACACACTTGTTGTCTGTGATTATCTAAGATGATTGGCACAAGTCCCATAACTCTGATTTGCTTTTTTTTATAATTATGCCCTTTTTTCGACTTAGAAATTCTTGGTTAAGTTTTGTATGTAAGCTGGTATCTCCATAACTACTGAAGGGAATGGATTGAAACTTCACACACACTTGTTCTCTGTGATTATCTAAGATGATTGGCACAAGTCCCATAACTCTGATTTGCTTTTTTTTTCATAATTATGCCCCTTTTTCGAACTTAGAAATTCTTGGTTAAGTTTTTGTATGTAAAGCTGTTATCTCCATAACTACTGAAGGGAATTGATTGAAACTTCACACACTTGTTCTCTGTGATTATCTAAGATGATTGGCACAAGTCCCATAACTCTGATTTGCTTTTTAACATAATTATGCCCCTTTTTCGACTTAGAAATTCTTGGTTAAGTTTTTGCGTGTAAGCTGGTATCTCCATAACTACTGAAGGGAATGGATTGAAACTTCACACACTTGTTCTCTGTGATTATCTAAGATAATTGCCACAAGTCCCATAACTCTGATTTGCTTTTTTACATAATTATGCCCCTTTTTCGACTTAGAAATTCTTGGTTAAGTTTTTTGCATGTAAGCTGGTAATCTCCATAACTACTGAAGGAAATGGATTGAAACTTCACACACTTGTTCTCTGTGATTATCTAAGATGATTGGCACAAGTCCCATAACTCTAATTTGCTTTTTAACATAATTATGCCCCTTTTTCGACTTACAAATTCTTGGTTTAAGTTTTTGCATGTAAGCTGGTATCTCCATAACTACTGAAGGGAATGGATTGAAACTTCACACACTTGTTCTCTGTGATTATCTAAGATAATTGCCACAAGTCCCATAACTCTGATTTGCTTTTTTACATAATTATGCCCCTTTTTCGACTTAGAAATTCTTGGTTAAGTTTTTGCATGTAAGCTGGTATCTCCATAACTACTGAAGGAAATGGATTGAAACTTCACACACTTGTTCTCTGTGATTATCTAAGATGATTGGCACAAGTCCCATAACTCTAATTTGCTTTTTAACATAATTATGCCCCTTTTTCGACTTACAAATTCTTGGTTAAGTTTTTTGCATGTAAGCTGGTATCTCCATAACTACTGAAGGGAATGGATTGAAACTTCACACACTTGTTCTCTGTGATTATCTAAGATGATTGGCACAAGTCCCATAACTCTGATATGCTTTTTAACATAATTATGCCCCTTTTTTCGACTCATGAATTCTTGGTTAAGTTTTTGCATGTAAGCTTGTCTCTCCATAACTACTGAAGGGAATGTATTGAAACTTGAAGAGTTTGTACCTTTTCGGACAATTTTATGTATTCATATAGGTAAGCATTATTATACTCAATGAAACACCCTTGTGACAAATTTTCGAATAGTCGAGCGTTACTGTCCTCCGACAGTTCTTGTTAGGAAAGGGCTATCCCCATACACTTGTGGAATACTTGCTTAAAGCTTTGTATGTATTGTCTTAATTTAGTTAAGGCACTCACTGAGGTTAAAAAGCCAAAGAAAACACAAAATTTGAATTTCTTTCATAGATCAGATGAGAATCTTAAAACAGAAAGATATGCAAAAGATAAAATGAAGAAAAATTAATTGAAAATGGTATTTTTGTACCTTTTTAGACCAATCTGGAAGATAAACTTTGCATCACTTTTCAGTTCTTGTCTGTTTTGAAGATGTAGTCAAGCTTTTATCATTGCTGCATTGTTGTCACTGTGCAAAATCTTTAATGTAGCTCGTTATTCAAATATTTAAAAAGTTATCAACATGAAACTTGGAAACTTTGTCTTGACAAGGTGCAGTTGTTAGAAATGGGGTGTTATTCTGAAAACTATATTGTTGTAGTTATACCCTTCTTAACATTAGAAATAAATTAACAATCAATGGTTAAGACCACATGCAAAGCTCCTGTTCAAAATTTGAATAATTGTTCAAGAAAAACATGTGAGCCCTTACACTCATTATGATCAAACAAAGAGAAAAGTTTACACTATGCTTTATTTCTTTTGTGTTTCAACATAATGTTACAAGCTGTTTTGCAGTGATAGTCACAGCTGTATAATTAGCAAAAGCAGAATTGAAATATAAAAAAAACGAACACTCATTTAATATGTTACATTAACTTACAATGTTGTTTGATTTTCCATAAAGGGAGATAAAAGAAATGTTAACGGAAACATAAATGCATGGTTACCATGACGGAAAGATATATCCAGGGAATTTCCACAAATACAGTCTAATTATGCCAGTGAAGTTTTGTAAATTATTCATTGGTTAGTTAGATATCACCAGGATCAATGTATTTTTGAAGTTTTAATTTCAACCCTTGCTATATAAAAATGAACGTACTGACTATCTATATGAAGAATTCTCTATGGGACTGTACTAATGATAGTTTATACACTGCTGATTAATGATGATTGTTTTCCTGTAACATACTTTAAGTAGACTGTCTATTTTATTTGGAAGGGTTTTGTGTATTTTTGTATTTAAGCCAATGTGTTTGTATGTGACAAAACCTTAAGAGAAAAACTGTGAATATGGTTCTTCTTAAATTTGTAATTTAGGATGATTTGCAAAGAGGTGTTCATGATTTGCAGATTGTGACACAAACCCCTAGTGTTTTTATTATTAATGAATGAAGATTGAAATATGCTAAATAGATTCTGTTGATGCTAGGGGAGATAATAACTTGCACATGTGTTCATTCTGGTGGATGCTTATTGTGCCTTAAATTTATTAGCGACTGAAGCTGTTTCCTCAAATTATCTCACATTTTCTACTTTTATATTTGAGGTCATATTAATCTTTGGTTTGTTAAAAGAAAATCTTCCATCATAAGAGCATAGTAAATATTGGTCAGTGTAAATCAATGTGATAACATAACACTGATAGGTTTTAGGTGACCTCCAATTTTTAAGAAGCTCTAATACGTAGCATTGACAACCAATTATCGTAATCAGATCTGAATCTGTGTCAAGAATAGATTATTTTTGGGCTCAAAGGTCATTTAGTGCTGGATTAGTATTTCTATTCATGTTAAATTGTTTCTATTGTTACCCACAATCCCTTGGTAATTTATATTTTACCCATAATCCCTTTATAGTAATAAATGTTGGAGGGTTATAATTGTGATGTTTATCTCATAATCTCTGGATAACAAGTACAGCAGTAGAATGTTAAGGGATCATTAGTGCTGATTTCTATAATTTGTTTGTTTCTTTGATTGGGTTTTACATAGCACCAACGCAATATAGGTCATTATGGCGACTTTCAAGCTTTACCAGTGGAGGAAGACTTCAGGTATACCCTTCCGTGCATTATTTTAGACCCAAATCGTGAGGCACCTGAGTAGTCTAAATAAACATATTATAATTGATGTTTTCGAATGATAGTAATGGATATACCCAAAATAAGAAACTGTTTACATTGAACAAGAATCTATTCGCTTCCTTATTAAGGAGCATTTAGTGCATCACTAATATTTCTCACATCTATAACGCTATGTTTGAATAATGCAAATGATATATCACATTAAAATATTTGAACGGACATGCATTACCGTTTTTACAGAGTCGCAAATAATCACAGGTGTGTAAAATATGATATAAAGGAATAATTTGATGAGAAAATTAAATCCTTTGTAGTCCAATTTCGAATAGAATATTTAGTTATATCAGTTCTGGAAATTTAATTGGAAATATACTTTTTTCTCACTAAATATTAAAATTAATTTTTGCATTTTGATGATGAGTTTCCTAAAACTTTGAACGGACTGTTTCAAATTCAAAGTATAGCAAGCCTATTACAAATTTTCAGCAGGTTCATGGTTAAAATCTAGAATGTTGGGGAAAAAGATTTTTTTAAAGAATTATTGACAGTTAAGATTCTTTCAAAATATCAGCAGAGCTTTTAAGACATTTGTTCAGGACATTTTAATGAAAAAATCTCAGCTGGAGCATTTTACTTGAGGACAATAATTGTTTTGTTTGTTGGCTTAATTGACAGTAACAAAATATTATTTGTGTTTTCAGTATTAGGTAGTATCAATACAATTTTATTTTATTGCAAACAACAAGTAATATTTTTGATATCTTTATAAAGAAATTTTTGTTGTTGAAAGAATGATAATTTATGATGACATAAAAACAATAATAAGATAATACATGTATTTTGTTAGGATATGTTAGATAGACTGTACACATTAATGAAAGAAAACTCCTGAGAGATCAATGGAATTGGAATTGTAACTACTGAATGGTAATAAAATTGTAACTTCTGAGGTCAATGGAATTGTAACTACTGAGAGGTCAATGAAATTGTAACTAACTATTGAGAGGTCAATGAAATTGTTACTATTGAGAGGTCAATGAAATTGTTACTATTGAGAGGTCAATGAAATTGTTACTATTGAGAGGTCAATGAAATTGTAACTATTGAGAGGTCAATAAAATTGTAACTATTGAGAGGTCAATGGAATTGTTACTATTGAGAGGTCAATGAAATTGTTACTATTGAGAGGTCAATGAAATTGTTACTATTGAGAGGTCAATGAAATTGTTACTACTGAGAGGTCAATGAAATTGTAACTATTGAGAGGTCAATGGAATTGTTACTATTGAGAGGTCAATGAAATTGTTACTATTGAGAGGTCAATGAAATTGTAACTATTGAGAGGTCAATAAAATTGTAACTATTGAGAGGTCAATGGAATTGTGAAGTTATATTTCAGTGTATATGGGTTTATTATGAAAATTAATTCAGATAATTTAAAAGTTTATTTATTTACTTGTAGGTTGTATTATGCAGTGAGCCAGATTTACAGAGTGGATTTTCCAGAGATTTATTTGTTGCATGGTGTGGCAATCCCAAGAACAGCATAATTCTTACCAACAGAACTTCACCAAAAACTCTGGCAAGATGGCTCATAGACAATACAGACAAGGAGACAGTTACAATGGAGGTTTGTTATACTGTTGCATATGAAATTATTCCATCTTTACTTATAAGCAGAGGTTTCTGTCTGACTGGTTCTAAAGGGAGCTGACTTGGAATCATATGTCCCACAACACATGAAGGTGCAAATCTTGCAAAGGTTTTTGAATTATTGCATAAGAGGAAGCTATCTAGCTACAATGTATATAACTGCAAGTGGGTGGTTCTACTGACTGAGATCGTGACTCTTGTGCCTGTAATTATGCTTTTAGTGAAATATGATTCGTGCTTTACCAGTAAAATGATAAGTTGCTATATGATATTTACAATATTGGTGTGACTTAGATCCTAATTAAATCACTAAATTTTCGATATTAGTTCACATATATACTTATTTATTATATAACCAATTTGATAATTATATTAATGACTTGTGATTTTGTTTAGACACACAAACAGCAGAATTTACCAGCCAGCCAATGAATACTTATAATCTTACATACAACAGACTGTATGTGTATGTATGGCTCTGACAATCTCTTCCCTAAGAATCAAAACACCAAAATTCTGTTAATACTAATCAGACTGATATTTCTTACATTTTTGTACAGGTAAGAAGAAGAATACGTCTTGAAGGGACAGAGCTTGAAGAATATATGAAGAAAAAGCAAGAAAAAGAACAAGAAGAGAAAAATAAAAAGGACACTGACAGGTATGGTTTTCAAAATCTATCACAAATATATTATATCATATTTATGATAAGTTGTTAATGTGCTATGAAAGTTTTTCTTCTTATGTCATGTGGTTTGTTTTTGACATGTTCTTATCTTATTTTATCCACAAGTGTAAAATTTCATCAGGAATTCTTTTCTTTAGTTCTGTTGTGCTGGGGGGGGGGTAATTGTTAAGGTATTGTTTTTGTTTGTATTTGTTAATTCTTTTTCACCATATATTTAGTGATCTTGCATGAAATCTTTGTGTTTCTCATAAGATATTAATTCCTTACCCAAATTTATAGCTCCTTTGTATTTGTTAATTCTTTTTCACCATATATTTAGTGATCTTGCATGAAATTTTTGTGTTTCTCATAAGATATTAATTCCTTACCCAAATTTATAGCTCCTTATTTCAATAATTTGAAACTACTTTTACAATTATTAATTTCTGAAAGGGCAAATTATTTGTGTCACTCATATTTTGTTTTATTTCTATATGATTTATCTTACTGTGAATGATATGTTCAACTGTTTTTTGTGTGGTTTTCATTTCTGTGTTTCTGTATTGTTATCAGACCTTGACAAATTCACTCGCCAGCTTGCATTTGCGTGTAAAAGTTCAGGTTGGGCGCGTAAAAAAATTGATCAAACTTGCCCAACAAGTCAGATTCTCCAGATCTAAATGATGTTTCTCTAAATATTTAGTATACATGAAGTTTTTCAGTGAACAAATCAAACTGCAGAAGCCCCATTTCATTCGTAATACTGTCAACCGAAAAACCGGAAACTGACTTTATGACTAAGTACAAATCTTAACCGAATGCGTATCATGAATCGATTCCATAACGACAGCAGCATTTGACAACTTTTGATACATATGCATTCGGTAATGTTGTATACATAGCCATGAGGTCAATATTTTAGCCGAGTGTGTTAAAATTTGAATGGAATAAGTATTCAGGTTATGTTGAAGATATAATAAGTATTATAAACATTATTGAACAATATATAATTGAGTAAAGCCAATTATACTAATATAGACCGGTAATTAGTAAATTTGAGTTTTGTGTTTGATTTTTACAAATTTTGTCCTTTTAAATGCAGGGCGAGTGAATTTTATGAAGGGCATGTAAATTTGGTGGGTCACTCGCCCTGCAGGCTGAGTGGCCCTAAAAAATTCATCGACGCCTGGTTATGAAGTGTATGCTCCTAGAAACACAAAGTTCTTTGACACTCTCAACTTTTTATTTTCATTGTTACATTGGAGTTCAAACTGTGTTTCTTTATTTATCCGTGACATCTTTTTATATGCCCGAAAGAATTTCGGACATATTATGTTATACCCCCTGGCGTCCGTCCGTCTGTCCGTCCGCACTACCGAAAAGGGATAGGGGGCCATCTAACTGTAAACAGAACAAAAGAGAACAATAGAGTTCATTCTGTAACAATAGAGTAAGGGGCCATTGGCCCTCTATTAAACAATAGAAAATAACAAAAGAAATGGCCCCTTATTCCATTTCGGCCGGACGTCCGTCCGTCCGTCTGTCCGTCCGTCCGTTAGCAATTTGGTTTCCGGAGCATAACTTAAGTTCCATTTGGCCCACAATATTCAAACTTCATAGGATGATTGTCCATATTGGGTAGAAGACCCCTATTGATTTTGGGGTCATAAGGTCAAAGGTCAAGGTCACTATGACCTTAAAACTGAAAACGTTAGCAATTTGGTTTCCGGAGCATAACTTAAGTTCATTTTGGCCCACAGTGTTTAAACTTCATAGGATGATTGTCCATATTTGGTAGAAGACCCCTATTGATTTTGGGGTCACAAGGTCAAAGGTCAAGGTCACTATGACCTTAAAAACTGAAAACAGTTTCTGGAGCATAACTTAAGTTCCATTTGTCCTACAGTGTTCAAACTTCATAGGATGATTGTCCATATTTGGTAGAAGACCCCTTTAGATTTTGGGGTCACAGGTCAAAGGTCAAGGTCACTATGACCTTAAAACTGAAAACAGTTTCCGGAGCATAACTTAAGTTCCATTTGGCACACAGTGTTCAATCTTCATAGGATGATTGACGATATTGGGTAGAAGACCCCTATTGATTTTGGGGTCACAAGGTCAAAGGTCAAGGTCACTATTACCTTAGAACTGAAAACAGTTTCCGGAGCATAACTTAAGTTCTATTTGGCCCACAGTGTTCAAACTTCATAGGATGATTGTCCATATTGGGTAGAAGACCCCTATTGATTTTGGGGTCACAAGGTCAAAGTCACTATTACCTTAAAACTGAAAACAGTTTTCAGAATATAACTTAAGTATCATTTGGCCTACTGTGTTTAAACTTCATAGTATGATTGTCCATATTGGGTAAAAGACCCCTAATGATTTTGGGGTCACAAGGTCAAAGGTCAAGGTCACTTTTACCTTAGAATTGAAAACAGTTTCTGGGACATAACTTAAAGTTCCATTTGGACCACAATATTGAAACTTCAAAGGAGGATTGTTATTTGAAGGAGGTAATACTTTATTTTAGTCCCATGTCTTACAAATGCTTCATCTTTACTAAAAAAAAAAAGCACTTTCGGGCATATAATGCTCCGCCTAGCGGTGCTCTTGTTATCTTCTTTTTCTCCATAAAAAGCTATTTAAACATTATGCTTAATATTATGATTGTAGACAGAAATGCATGATTACACTGAAGTCTATTATTACCTAAGGCTAAATATTCAACAATGAATCAATATTTTGTCTTAAAACATCTGCTATTTGGTACAGTACAAATAACCTGACATCTTATTATCTCCAATGACATAATGCCATATATATTGCACAATTTGGTAAATAATTGTTGAAGAGATCTGCAGTACACAATGAATTATTTTTGTCCAATACAGAGAAAACATTTTGTGGGATAAAATATTCTTAATAATCATATCATACATGAGATTGTTGTCATCAAATGTATTTGAAAACATTTTAAAAATTGATGACATTCAAATGAAAAAGTAACTTTTACCATGTCTCATCAAGATGTAATTATCATTTACATTTTGATCACTGATATTTATTTGATTACTGGGGTATATTTTGATAATTTGGGTACATTTTGATAACTTGGATACATTTTGATAATATCTGCAGATCTCAGTCTTTGAAAAATCTCCTTTTTGTGTCGCCTTGAAAAGGTGACATATAGGGATTACTTTTGTCGGCGGTGTCGGCGGCGTCTGTGTCGGCGGCGTCGTTGTCGGCGTCGGCGTCCCCTAAAACTTGTCCGGAGCATAACTCAGTCACTATAAGTCCGATTGACTTCAAACTCGGTATGCATGCTTCTTTCAATAACCCGAAGTGCAGTGCACAAGGACCGGTACTCTGCAGTTCTTATTTTTTGAGTTATTGCCCTTTGTTAATTTTCATACTTTAATTTTGTCCGGGCCATTTCTCTTCAACTAAAAAAGCTACGGACTTGAAACTTCACAGGATGATAGATCTTATTAAGAAGAAGTGCAGTGCACAATGACCGGTACTCTGCACTTCTTATTTTTGAGTTATTGCCTTTGTTAATTTTCATACTTCATTTTTGTCCGAGCCATTTCTCCTAATGTATAAAAGCCATGGACTTGAAACTTCATAGGATGATAGGTCTCATTAAGAAGAAGTGCAGTGCACAAGAACAGGTACTATGCATTTCTTATTTTTTGAGTTATTGCCCTTTGTTTATTTTCATACTTTAATTTTGTCCGGGCCATTTCTCCTTAAGTATAAAAGCTATGGATTGTAACTTCATAGGATGATAGATCTCATTAAGAAGAAGTGCAGTGCACAAGAATCAGTACTCTGCATTTCTTAATTTTTGAGTTATGGCCCTTTGTTAATTTTCATACTTAATTTTTGTCCAAGCCATTTCTCCGAAAGTATAAAAGTTATGGACTTGAAACTTCATAGGATGATAGATCTCATTAAGAAAAAGTGCAGTGCATAAGAACTGATACTGTGCATTTCTTATTTTTTGAGTTATTGCCCTTTGTTGATTTTCTCACTTTATTTTTGTCCTGGTCATTTCTCCTCAAGTATGAAAGCTATGGACTTCATAGGATGATAGATTTCATTAAGAAAAAGTGCAGTGCATAAGAACTGATACTCTGCATTTCTTATTTTTTGAGTTATTGCTTTTTGTTGATTTTCTTACTTTATTTTTGTCCTGGTCATTTCTCCTCAAGTATGAAAGCTATGGACTTTGAACATCATACAATGATAGATCTTATTGATAAGAAGTGCAATGCACAGAAACTGCTGCTCTGCACTTATTATTTTTTTAGTTATTGCCCTTTGTTATTTTTCATATTTCATTTTTGTCCTGGCCATTTCTCCTAAACTACATAATGTTCACAAGGCGACACATCCGACTCGCGGAGTTCTAGTTTAAGAAATCTGTATGTGTAAACTCTAGCTTCCTTTAAGATTTATATTTTGTAGAGTGTAACAAGAAGAAACAAAGTGGAAATCATTTTGTGCCCTTTGAGTTTTAAATTTCCTCAATAATTTTGATGGAGCATATATTTGCTATTATTTCAATGCATCTTCGTTTATCTTCATCTTCATTGAGTGGTGACTTACATGTAAGTTAATAAGTTCAAATGCTTAAAGCTGAAAATAGATTTTCCTACTTTTTTTTCTTATGGTTAACATAATGACCATGCTTTAGCCTTTATATTAGTTGACAAAGAATACATCTGTGATACCAATATTCTTGGGTTTTTTATGGAACAATGTTGACATCCTACACAATAATTTACATTTTAGGTAATGGCCACACAAAAGGGAAATATAAAAAGAATGTTCATTAAAACTTAATTCAGATATTTATGTCCTTCAGTTTACACTCAATATATCAAATTTTCATACAGGAAAAATATGTTTAATAAAAGTGGTATAACCAGAACATTTGTAATCCTGAATGTTTCTTTATTCTTTACAAATCACATGTGAGCAACATATGTTATTGCTATAAAACCTTTGTTTTTATGTAACCTTTGTTTTTATGTAATTTATTAAATTGGTTTCCCCATATTGTATAGAAGATGGATTGTAACATTATGATCATATATGTTACAGTTACATGGTGACATAATATTGTTTACAGTAACATTTTGATGAAGATTTTTCTCCCGGTTAATTTGATGTTCCTCTATTGTCAAGTTGTTAACTTAGTAGGTAATAGTCCTTTATTGGTATGGTTTCCATCCCTCATGGCCCGACTGATTTTGATCCCTATATATATTTCAGAAGAACATTTATTTTCATTGCAACTTATTTAGAGATATACCTATGAATGTTTTTTTAAAAAAAAAAACAACATATCCAGATGTTAAGCTATGAACAGTAAGGGGAAAAACACTTCACCCTAATCTAGATGTAACGTTAGGATCTTTTATAGAATTTACTTGACATCTGTTTGATCAGATATATTTAATAGTATATCAGTCTTATTGTTGATGTTTTCACTTTGTAGCTTTTTAAAGCATTTTTCATTATCAGTCATTGAGCTTTTGAATACCACTGCAATTAAAAAGCCCATGAAGAATAAAAAACTATTTTTTCTCAAAAGGTTTTGGTGTCCTTGATTTTACAGCTTCCATCGGTCATATTTCTTAGCCATCTTTTGTTGGTAATTAGTACAGTTATAGTTAATTATTATTTTGTATGGAAGTCAAAATACCACTTTGATTGCATATTGCTACCTTTAAACACATTTTTGCACTCTCAACAAAACTTTTTATGCCCCCGCCATGTAATGGCCGGGGCATATAGTGTTACCCTGTTCCGTCATTCCGTCATTCTGTCATTCCGTCATCATCAGTTTCCGTTCATTATCTTAGTAACGGTTGCACACATTCAACTCAAATTTGACATATGGATATGTCATGAGAAAATACAGGCCAAGTTCGAATTTGGTCATGGTTCGATGATTTTTGGCAGAGTTATGTCCCTTTTACTTTTAAATAAAATGAAATTTTCAGTTTCCGTTCATTATCTCCCCAACGGTACAACACATTCAACTCAAACTTGACATATGGATATGTCATGAAAAAATACAGGTCAAGTTCGAATTTGGTCATGGTTCGATGATTTTTGGCAGAGTTATGCCCCTTTCTCTTTGAAATAATATGAAATTTTCAGTTTCCGTTCATTATCTCCCCAACGGTACAACACATTCAACTCAAATTTAATATATGGTTAAATCATGAGAAAATACAGGTCAAGTTATAATTTGGTCATGGTTCGATGATTTTTGGCAGAGTTATGCCCCTTTCACTTTGAAAATAATATGAAACTTTCAGTTTCTGTTTATTATCTCCCCAACGGTACAACACATTCAACTCAAATTTGACATATGGATATGTTTTTGGAATGCCCAGGCCAAGTTTGAATTTGGTCATGGTTCAATGATTTTTGGCAGAGTAATGCCCCTTTCACTTTGAAAATAATATGAAATTTACAGTTTCTGTTCATTATCTACCCAACAGTGTTACATATTAAACTAAAATTTGACATATGAATATGTCAAAGGAAGGCGCAAGTCAAGTTTAAATTTGGTCATGGTTCGATGATTTTTGGCAGAGTTATGTCCCTTTCACTTTGAAAATAATATAGATACATCTTAGGAATAGGCAGTTTAAGTTTGAATTTGGCCATGGTTCAATGATTTTGGACAAACTTATCTTTCTTGAATGTTGGAAAAATTTTGAACTTTCAGTTTCAGCACTCATACTTTTGTGGAAATGTATGTAGCCATTATTTTGGCTACAAATATGAAATATGCTTTTTTCAAAAGGTTAAGACTGAATAATTTCAGTGCCTTGAATATTGTATGAAAATGGTTTGTGTTAACATTGAAAAGTTTTAAGGGCTTTGAACTTAAAATTAAAAAAACAATTTGTGCAAACAAATTTGGAACTAAATATTATAACATCTGAAATTTTGGCTGCATGCGGGGGCATCCGTGGCATGATGACACATTTCTAGTTTTAAATTATTTTCAAAGAAGGCATAAGATTCCTGTAAGAAACGTTATTAGGACAATTTCATACACTGCTAGAGTATCTTCAAATGTTGATAACCTTGTTGAGGGTTTAGATTACTAGTACTTAACCTCCTGCTATTTACTTTTCAGCTTATAGAATCTCTTGTTACAATTTCCATAAGACAATGCTCTGCTGCTCATGAAAAAGCCAATGGAGAGGAATTTCTATGTTATCTCAAATGTCCAGACACTGATTGATTATTCACTGAGAGATTTAAGTGGCTGGTCATGCAACAATAGGGAGAAAAACGAAATTCTAGCCTTAAATAATTGGCCGTATTCTTTCAGATAAAAATGTCTTCACCAAAGGTTTATTGATCTGGGGTGATTTATAGGCAAACACAAACTTTTGAACTTTAGCCTAGCATTTTCGACTTTTGAGGTCAAAGTATGTCTACATCTGTGAAAAAGAATCAATGCTTATTTTAACTTTTAGACAAGATATGTATATATTTGTAAAGACAAGGAATATGGTCCTGTGATCATTAAATATATACTTGATGACAGACATCAATGAGTATCTCATAGCAAGAGGTTTTTGAACATTAATTGTGATGTTTTTTTGTCTAATGGGTTTGCCCTGCTCTGAATTTTGAACAGTCCATTCATTATAATTTTAAGAAATTTCAAATGTGCTACCAGATGTGTAAAACCTGGTCAGACTGCATGGAAATGTTCAATTTAAACCTTAAGGGTAAAGTGAATGACCTTTACAGGTTATTCTGCCTTCTAATATAATGTTATTGTAACTTCACATAAATAGAAATGCAATACTGTTTCTGTGAAAATGAGATAACTAACATAATGTATTGGCACGAGTTGACAAGTCTTAGTAGAGTTGCAAACCAGACCTGCCCGGACATCTTAAACATTGACCACACTTCATATTTTTGCAGCTGAAGTTTAATACATGTGATTCAATCCAGAAATCCTTAAATTTTAACCTTCTATCAAGATTAATCCAATATTTAGTGAGAAACGATTAAAGGACTATTTTATTTCACAAGCTTTTGCTTCTGAAAATATCATGGTTAGAGCAATCGTTAACTGTTATTTCAGAGATGAATCAAGTGATGAGAGTGATACAGAGATGGAAGTTGACAGTGGCATACCTGTTCCTGGAACATCCAAACCAAAACATGATATTATCATTAAACAAGAGGTAATAAATATATATCTTATCATGTTTTGATTTGTAATCTAGGTTTATTCTTTACATCACCTGATTTCCAGAGACTTTTTAAAGTACCTTTATTCTAAGACACTATCCTTGATTTTTTGTTTGTTATTAAGATAAAAATAATTCTGAGAAAAGAAATAAAAAAAAGGATCAAAAAAGAAAATAAAAAGCTCAAAAAGAATGTTATCGTACTTCAAAATATATTGAATAGAAAATTTTGATCTACTTACTTGTGAATATAAAGATGATCTTTATAAATGTAACATATTGGCACTGACATTTCTTTACCATTAAAAAGGACAACTGCTGTGTCTTCAAGAAGTGCAAAATGATTTATCTATATAAAGGAGGCAAGATAATTGTTAACCTTTCTCCTAATTTCCTGGAATTATTGGAAAAAACTCGGATGTCCCCCATGATTATAAAAATATTCACATATAAAAGATATATTTAGTAACTCAAACTGAACTTTTGCATATAACAATAAATTATAAGATGGCAAGAACATGTAATTCTTAATGAAATTAAGTTCCTTAGTTCAGACAATATTGTTATTTATAGGTATATAAGTTAATAGGTAAAGCTAGTGTAAACTGAATATGATTTAGAACTATTTTAATAAATGAATAAAACATTTATTTTAGGGTAAAGGAAGATCAGGTTTTTTCAAACAAGCTAAAAAGTCATACCCAATGTTTCCATATACAGAAGAAAGAATGAAATGGGATGAATATGGTGAAGTGATCAGGTGAGAGTTTGTTTTTTTAAAACCAATAACGAACCAATAGTTTTACAGCCATAGTGAGGTGATGTTTATTAACCAATATTTTTTTTTACTTGCAAGCATTTTGTTATTTTGTCTGCTGGACCACACAAACAATTAAAAATAAGCTCTTTTGAACGTAGATAAAACTCGGTTACTGAAATATAATTTCTTTTTTAAAAATATCAACACTTTAGATTCACATTATTTTATATTTCTTTCTCTATTCGGATAAAGAAATTATGTAGCTAGAAATTTTAACTGCTTTCACAAAAAAAAAAATAATGGCGTAAGAGAAACTGTATTTCGTTTACACTTGTATTTTATGATCGCTGACTCATTCAAATGTCATCATTAGCGAATATATGAGGCATATAAACTATATTGTAAAATGATTTGTTGGTTGTTTTTTTCAGGCCTGAGGATTACATGATTGCAGAGGCTCCAGTCGCAGATGAAACCATGTCAACTGTAAGTGTAAACACACCTTGAATCATATCTAACAAATGACACTGCACTTTTAGCAAACAAGATGAACTCAAGTAAAAATAACAGAAAATATGAAACCTGCATTTTTATCATGAGAAAAGCTATAAATATAGGTAGAAGTTTCTTTTACACTCTCTTGTTACATACACGTGGAAAAGCAGCACGTGGTAGATATATTTCAGGAAGAAACAAGGAAGGTCTTTAATCTAGTAATGACCCAAAGTTCGTTAGTATCTGTTAGTATCTTTATCAAAATGTCTTTTTTTTGCAGGAAAAACTAGTTGCAGAATCCGACCAACTTCAAGGTAAGTTTTGATCAAATTAATCTAGTATTACTTTATAAAAGGATTTTGCACGTTTTTATTTGTTGGTTAAATACGGAAAACATATCAGATTCTTGATTAAGAAATAGATTTTGAATATAAATAAAAATGACTAAGGCTTGTAAAACATGTAATGTCAAAGTTAAATCTATTCCCAACTGTTATGTTGACGTGTTGATAAAAGTAAGTTTTCACCCTAGGAATTTAGATATTGATTTATTTTTAGAATTGCCATTTGGTTTTTAATATAAGACCATTTGACTTCTTTAGATTGTATTTGTGGTGATTTCATGTATATGGGATTAACCTTGTTTTCTTACTCTTTGCCATCAGCTCAGCTTTGAAAAAAAAGATAACTACGGTATATGTTAGATTATTTTTTTTTCTTTCTGAACACGAAACTGCTTATCTATAAATGGTAACATTTAGGCGTTTAAACTGTTGTTTCATTCCTTAAACGCTCTAAGATAGTACATGTATTTGCATTTACTTTCATCAGAATTGCATGCTTACAAATTGTTACTTCTATGAGATATTCCACGAGGAATAAAAGTGTCATCAATATTGCACTCTTAAATTATCTTAATAGTATGGCCATTACGCGGCATTTAAAAATGTCCCCGATGTTTTATTACATTTTGTAGTTTTGACTTAGATGTATTGTTGAAGAGGTTAGTTTTAAGTGGAATTCTAGAAAATACTGTCAAACTGTCATGCCTGTTTTAAACGTGTAGCTACTTGTACTCTTCTTGGAGATAAATATATTTTCTCTCTTGAGATGCGTTTTAAAAGATCATGGGCATAAGTAAGTAAGACGTATATAAGAAAAATATCGCTGATCAGTAAGGTATGCACAGTAGCACACCCCACTGCTTATGTAGTATGTCCTGCAGTTATGGATTTGAGGTTAAAAAACCCCAGCCAGATTGTATTCCTTGAGTGGTACACACAAAAAAGTGGTTTGGAGAAAGACCGGCACATGAAAAGACTTGTGGTTCAAAAATAAAAAAAATGCTGGAAATGTTTTATCGCATAAATTGTTACATTTCTTTTAAAAATACGTTTAATTTAAAAAATTAAAAGATATCTTAAAAGTTTTAAGAATCTAAAAACAATAATTGTAATTTTAGCCCCTGAAACCATTATTAACTGCCACAAACGCGTACATTGTTATTGTATTAAAAGTGAAAGTAACATACCTAGTTCAACTTTTCTGTAATCCAACACCTTTCTGTCTGTTTCAATTGGTGATATATAACGTACCAACAAAATTCTCTCACTATTTTAGATGTATCTGAAGTGCCAACTAAATGTATTGCTGTCACAGTAACACTAGACATTAATGCAAGTATACAATACATTGACTTTGAAGGACGAACAGACGGCGAATCCATGAGAAAAATACTGAATCAGATTAAACCAAGACAGTTGGTATGTGATTTTTAACCGATCTTAAAATATTTCATTAATTAGAAAGCCTTTGTTACTTTATATAACTTTACGCAAAATTATGAGCAACTAAAGTTCACCAGATCATTGATTAATAAGCAAATTTTGCGGCTTATGTATTTTAAAATCTTCATGAGCACCCAATCCAAATAGAAATATATTCTCTTGTCTAGAAATTCCATGCATTTAAGCTTTAGAATTAGATAAAAAAAAGCTAGTTCAAGTACATGATCAAGGAAACTCTTCAGACTGGCATCAAATGCTATACTACAGAAATGTTTGCTTAACAGAAATGGAGAGAAAATTCACCAATATTATAAGAACTTCGATAAAAGTTAAAACGATCTTCATTTGATTAATCTAAACTGCTTTATAATTATTTGTATCTTAAAATTTTGAAAAATCTGATCTGCATATGTGAAATTATAAACAGATTTTGGTTCATGGTTCGGAGGAGGCTACACAATCTCTGGCTGAATATTGCCGAAACACACAGGGTATGATACAAGGAAATGTATTCACACCTAAAATTGGTGAAACTGTTGATGCCACGACAGAAAGTCATATATTCCAGGTAAATATATCATTTTAATTATCTTTTCATCAATATTCAATTGATACAATTATGGCATAAAGTTTCAATATTGACTGACGTCATGAGTAAACAGTCAAATATACCAATATACTCCTGCAATTTTAATTGATATGATTTAAACAAATAACATTTTTAAAAGAATTTTTAAGAGCAATTATTTATTAAAATGATACTAAATATATTTATAGTCTTTCCTAAAACAGAATAATTTCATATTTTAGGTAAAATTAAAAGATTATGTCGTAACAGCGCTTGAATTTTCAAAAGCAAAAGATGCTGAACTTGCCTGGATTGATGGTTGCATTGATACGAGTTTGCACAAGGATGATCTTGATCATGAGATGTATGATGATGATGATGAGGTAGACACTGATAAAGGTAGCATTGTATTTTGTCTTTGTTTTTGATTCACAGATCTATTGTTGGACTTAATTTTATGTTGTTGTAGTGTAATTTTGATTCTGAACATTATTGTTAATGGTTATATTAAACGCTTTAGTGTATTTTTTTATATATGTCAAATATCATTTATTATATTGTAAAATAACATATTATTCAAGACTTACATTACCGCCTCCGTGGTCGAGGGGTTCGAGTCAATGACTTCTTATCCAGTTACCTCTCTCCGGGAGATGCTTTGGTAGTTTAGCGCGGAGTAAGGTAGTCTAGTACTGGTGTAACTCTCCAGGAACGATGGAGAGGAAACTACCCGCCTATATGACTGAAATACTGTTGGAAAAAGGTGTAAAAGAAACAAACAAACAAGACATACATTAATATGAAAATCTGGAAAAAAAATTGAAAAAGAGCTTTAAAATTATGAATGCCATGATCATGTTGTAAAACAACTGAAGTCAACCATCCAATATTTTCGTGCTGTAATCTAAATTGACATGTCACATAAATAGAATGTTGACGTTTTGAAAATGAATTATGATTATAAACTTATTATGCGAATATATGGAACAATTTATTTGTTTAATCATGTTGTTGCAATATTATTTTGCACTAAAACAATGGCAGTAGCGAATAACTTACATGTATTTTTTTTCTAGTGCTTAAACCCAAAACAGGGATGGAAAATCCCCCTTCTTT